GATTGGAAATATTATATGTATTATATATAATTTATAATTAAAAATTATATTGCTGAGCAAAAATTATATTTTTTCGTACAGACTAAATAAGTGATTAACGTAGCTTGCTAATGAAAAGAAAGCACGAAATCTGGGAGGTGGCAAGTAAACGAAAATAGGAGCAGAATATATACGGTGAAGCACTCGCGAGTAAAAATATATCACCCCGAGTACGAATTTTACGAGGCTCTCAAGATTCATTCGTCCTGAGTAAGCAATCAAAATAATTTACCAACACTAAAACGAGGAGAGGTGGCAGCGGCGACTTAAAAAGAGCATCGCGGGATTCAAGGGGAATCCGTTCTCGAAGATCCCTTACGAAGTAAAACGAGTTGGCTTGAAATTGAAACATGTCGATTTAATCGATCATTTTTCATGTGTCGCTATCGTAATTATCGATAATTATACGGTGCAATTATTATAATTGCACTGTAATTATATCCCTTTAGTCGTGCGTTAACCAGTGCATTGCCGATCAAGTTGAAGCGAAAGAGCCAGCGAGAAGACGAGAGCAGGACAAAAGGGAGAAGCGGCGGGACCACTGTGTGGTCCACAGAGCGCGTCACACCCACGCGTGTTAGCAGCAGTTAACGTCACTCATGTCGCCCGGCCGATTTATGCGGTGTCGCTCCGCACCGATTTCTGCTTCGCAAACTGCGCGCAATTGCGCAGGAAGAAATTTAACGTCGTTATAATTATCGCGTTATCGCCGACGGGAAATGATGATAGGTCTCTTCGCGACAAGCCAGATTTTATTTTACTCTCGTCGCGGTATGAATTTGCACGTTTTGTAAATTAATTAAACGGTATTTCCAGCGCGGATCTGTCACTTCCCCCGTATATAGATGGATATTTTAAGCACCATCGCTGAAACTGCTTAATATACACCGTTTCGGCATGAGAGGAATCGGAAAAAAAAAATGAAAAAATAAAAAAATAGAAAAAACCCGCAAGTCGCTTTTTCTTTCAGCATAACAATCCGTGATTGCATAGAAATATGAATAATCTTTTCGTGTGCGAATTGATCGTCCCACAACCGCCGCGCCGGGAGTGATAGCCAGTGAATCAAAAAAAAAAGAAAGGAAAAAAAATCGCCACGTATCGCGTGTAATGGCGTCGTGGCTAAATCCGGGCTGGAAATAATCGCGTCGAATAATATTATCATACAATGGCGTTTTGCCACGCGGTACACGTGCAACCTGTAGTTTTGCGCGGGGCATTTTCTCTCGGATTGGCAAATCGTCGTTCACCAGGCGGACAATCGCGGCCAAGCGAACAATCGTGCTTAGGCAATTGCGTCCTCAAAAGGCGCGTGTAGATTAAATATTAATCTGATTACCGAGTCGCCTCATTGATTGGGACGTAGGTATATCGTCGGGAGGAATTTTCAATCTTTCAGTTCACAACGCGACAAATTCATGATCCACGTTCATTGAAAGCACGAAGGTCTCTCTCTCTCTCTCTCTCTCTCTCTCTCTCTCTCTCTCTCTCTCTCTTTATTAATGAAAATTTTTCCGAAAACTTTAACGCTCCACCGGCCAAGTTGAATTTTTAAGGCAAGTATCTCAAAATTTAATTATTATAGATACAAATCTGAAAATAATTTTGTTGGATTATCAAAATAATGAAGTAGGACGCTCAAATTGGTTACTATAATGTCAAAACTTTTTTGCAGCACTAATATATCATACTTGAGTTTCTTGCGTTATTATTTTGATAATCCAACAAAATTATTTTCAGATTCGTATCTAGCTAAATTTTAAGATACTTGCCTTCAAAGTCCAATTTTGCCGGTGAAGGATCAACACTTTTAGATCTGTAGCTATCTATACCTAAATTTATAGATACTTCAGTAAAGTCGTTCTTTCCGTGTATATAGTAAAAATTCGTTGTTAAAATTTTCACAAGAATTTCTTTAGATTTTTATCCAGTTTGGAACAATATAAAAATGTGCACTGAAGCTCAAATTACTGACGGAAAGTGTAAAATTCCATATGGCTGATAGAGAGAGAGAGAGGGTTAAAATATTTCTGCAACTGAGACATAGAAATAGCGCACTTTTAACTGTTCAAGTCCCTCGAAATGGATATTGTCTAAGAAATGAAAGTTCGTGTTTTTTTGTAACGCCATTACTTTTTATCGTTACTTTATTATAATAACGATTTAATAATGACGTTATACCAGAATTGGAAAAGTCAATTGTTACTTGTAACAGAAAAGTCACTCGATATTGAAAAAAGAAATTCGTTATTTGTAACGAGTTACCTATAATGCATTATAAATAACGAATTATTTTTTTTCACTAAATAATGCGTAATGGTGACAGTTACTTTTTTAAGTCACTTTTCCAATCTTAGCACAACCTTAGCGTTTAGTTAATTATTGTTACAGTTACAAAAGTAGCAATGCCATTATCAAATCGTTGCTATAAAAAGTAACGGTGTTACTATACTTTCAATCCCTGATATTGTCGACAAGAAAATGATATCGAGTAAGGATATTTAATCTTCAAAATTTAAAATTACCCATTTTTCCGAGTGGTAAACACCGAGCGAAAGTGGAGACCCGATGTCCGCTTTAAGAAACGTTCTCGTCGCGGACGAGAAAAGCGCGGAATAAATAAGCGCGATCGTTAAAAGAAGCAAACAGCCGGCGGCACCGGCCGCGTCTCGTGGGAAGTCAAGGAGTAATCGAAGAAAATGATTTAAGCGAACCGAGAGGGGAATATGCGCCTACGCACGCACATTCGGTATACGCTTAAACACGCACGTACGCACGCACGTACGCACGCACGCACGCACGGCACCGGGGATCAATTCGAGACGCATATTGCGACGTTTATGTGCGTTTATGCGCGTTTACGCTCGAGCATACGTACTATGGCAAATCAGGGCTCTCGGAGACGAAGAATACGACTGGGAAAATTATTTAAACCCGCATTTCAGCAACTAGAGTTTTCATACACTAAGAGAAAAGTATTTGTGATTATAATTGGCTGATAAAATAATTATAGTTAGGAATTTATAGTTATTGCTGCTTTAATATTAGTAATAATAATCATAATTATTTAATCATTTACGGTTGCCAACTATATATATTTAAATTTTGTTTCTAGAACTATACATATAGTTATTTTTACTATCGTTATAGCATAATAATCATAATTATGAGATAACATGTGATTATAGTCACAAATACCAAAAATTCTTCTCTTAGAATATTCATAACTTCGAGCACTACGCATAGAACAAAAACACACACAATTATACCTCTGTGAAGCTGGCCCCACTTTTATGCGAAATTACAAATACTTCTCGAACCTCTTGAATATACAGACGTCGATTTAAAAGTGCGGATATTTTATTGCACCTGCTATTTAATTTCGTCCTTTGATTCATGGATTAAAGTACCGGTAAAAATTCAAGAATCCTTGTTTCTAGTGCGGTATCTAAAGATTTTACAAATGGAGAGTTACATTCAAGAGGTATAACCGCGATCGATGGTGCGTAAGGGGGTTAAACGCTGAACCTTTCGCTTGCGAATCGCGGACATGTTATCGCCGCTATTAACCGGCGTTCGCTACCCGCATCGTCTATCTAAATTGCTTTCTATATTGAAGCAAAATGCATTCCCGCGCTTTATTATTGTTGGGCCCGCGCTCACGTTCCTCCCTTTATTTTATTGTTGTTCGGTCACCACGTATAACTCCACACCGCGACCTCTCTTCATACTCTCTCTCTCTTTCTCGTGTTGCCACCTCCCGTGGTTGTCAACGACGACGACGGTCGTGCTTCCAGGAACCCTTATCGTCCGCAAGTAGCATTTGAAAAGGCAAAGAAGGTAAATAGTAAGATATTGATTTACGAATAATGACGAATGTTCCATCCCTGCGAAGCTAAAGGTCGAGCACGAAACTGGGAGACGATCAGTCGTCGTTTCTAGGACGGGGCTTGTCACGTACAAAGCTGATGATTCAACAACGTGACCATGAACTTGAAAATGGAGCGAAGCGAATCGGACAACGGCCCTCGAGGGATGCTCGAGGGATACTCGAGAACAGGAAATCTCCACTCGAACTCGGAAGGGATGATCGGTCGTTGCGCCACTACTTACTACGGAAACCGATCGTCGGAATTCGCTCGACAGATACAAGCGGCAGATAATGCAACAGATATTGTAGGAGAGGGATGTGAAGTCTTTTATAGATGTCGCGAAACAGGTTATACGGGGTGTCTTCGACTAATCGTACTTTCCTTTAACGATAAACGTCACGTAAGTAATTAAAACTAAAGATTAATTTCAAAAAATATCCATATATGCGACAATAATAAAAACGGGAAACAATCATTTTGTTATTATACTAGCATTATTCAAATTTTCTTGATAACATAAACTTTCTTTGGATATTTAAGCTACATTTACACTGAATGTTTAGATTACATGCCACTGAGAAAAATTTTCGAAATTTGTAACTATTATTAATTAGCAATTACATGGTACCATAGTTAATGTATGGTTGATTTTGAAAATGACTATAAATTGGAGTTAAACTGCAATTATTTTTCTGGTACTATATTTATAGTCATTTTCAGTGCCAGTTATGTATACTTTTTAATAGAGTTATAAATATAATTACAACCATAATTATTATTATGTACTATGAAATTTTTTATAGTCACAAATATACGAAAAATGTTTCCCTTAGGATAGATAAAAAAATCGTAAATATGATTTTATTTTTACAATTTTAATTTCGATTTCGGTAAATCTATCGATAAAAGAAAGCATGAGGACACCCTGTGCATAGAGATAGGCAACCAGACGTTGTTTCGCGTGTGTGCGTTGCCTAACGTGGAGGCTTCCACGTTTACGTCCGGCCTGGGGGCCGTGTCGAGAGGGCGATTATCTCCTGAAACGTATCGAAACGAGACGAAGAGGAGAAAAACGAAAACGGGACTCACCTGCTATACTGGAGGTGGAGGCGCCGAGCCAAGCGTGGGACGACTCCAACAACTTGGCCTGAAACAGAAAAGGTTGGTCGGTCAGACATCGGTGTGCTGGAACAACGATTAGCGGCGATTTAACGGCTGGTTGGGAAAACGACTTAATCTTTTATCCGAGCAATCTTCTTTTCTAACCGGAAGCAAAACGACCTTTGCCGAGATAATTATTTAATCGAAACTCATCCGCGGGAGAAAGAGGGTTCAAGTATTTTAATCCCTATTGGTGTCGCAAAACACTAATTATTTAGACTTTAATATTCCAGCTTATGTAACAGAGAATATATCAATATACTTTTAAATCCCATTAAATCGGATCACGACCGAAAGAACGTTTTAATCATCGAATCGCTTGTTTAATTCTATCTAATCGTAAGCTTATATCTTCATTTTAAAATAAATGATATGTTAATAATAACTACGATAAGATAAGGATAATAAGTATAATAAAAGATTTAATCTCGTAAATACTTAAACGTAAATGGAGTTCACGAGATAGGCAAGATAGGTATAACAGTTTGAGAGAGATCTTACATTGAGAAAAAAACCTGGGTAATTAGCTATCAAATGTATTTTGTTTAGTGTATTGATGCAATATTTAGTATAAGCAATATCAGATATAATAATAATAATAATCAACTGTTTGGTAATAATTACTAAATATTTAGGAAAGTAAAATTGACATTTAGTTGGTTCATCTAACCATTTTTTTTGTTATACATGGGACGGTTTTACTGAAATATTTAAAAGTTTAGATAGATACAAATCTGAAAATAATTTGGTCACATCATTAAAATAATTAAATTTAAAACTATATACTATATAATTTGACACCATATAGCAAATTGACATAATAAATTTAGTAGTGTAACGCGTTACTTCCCAATCTTGCTAAGTTTGATTATTATTACCAAACTTTTTTTTCACTGACTTTTTGTGCTCGATTCTGCAATGTGACACAATATGAAAAGGCGACTTACCAAAAATTTTCCGGGACTACAAGGGAAAAATTGTATGCATTGAAAATACTGAGGTAATCCGAACTGTTCACCTCGGCCGACAACTTTGCTAATATGCGAGGCTTTTCGAAGGGGATTCGCGAGGCGCCAGGGCACCGAAAGCGCAAGACACACGCAAAGTTGGCTCATTTGAAAAGTTTTGCCTCTTCCCCTTGCGCTTTCGGATTTTGCGATTTCTGCAATATCGTAGGCAAGCGCGTGTGCTTGCCGGTTATACTTGTTGTATACATTATATTTCCGGACCGAGCCTCTTTCTCCGGCCTGACTTCTCAAATTAATTTTTAAGAGTCGCTCGATGCGCCCCGATTGCCGCTCAAATCCTTCCACCCTACTTCATCCCTTTTTTCTTTCCCTTTTTCCTCGCGCTCCAAAGTTTCATAGGTTCGCGAATTATACTTGCAAAAAACCGAATGCCGCTTTGAGATGTATCTTTTATTTCGAACTAAAATTGATCAAAACTTACGAAAGTAAATGGATCTAATTTTTATGCATTAACCTTAAGTAGATAAGTAGAGTGAACACCCAAGAAATTAAATTTTAATTCTATAGTCGTATTTTTTACAATATATTATGTTAGTTAAATTTACATTAGTTTTATATGAAACAAACATATAAAAATAAATCTGAATCTTGAGATTCTGGGGATCTAGGTAATACTTTTTTTTCTTCTTGCAGGATAAAATTTTAAAGAAAACTGTATTTGAGATGTTGTGGCCACTCCATTTACCTACTTAAAAGTTAATCCTTCATCCTTGAGTATCGACAGAAACGCGTATGTAACTTAAATACTATTTCACACAATGGACTGTTTTCAGTATTCTTTTTGATTTGACGAGAACGTGGAAACGTCACTCTTCGGAAGTGCAGATAGCGCCGTATTGTGTGTGCTGCGGTATATTTAAATTGTTCAAATCTATTCAAATGTACGTTCCCCTCCCTCGCCCACTACTATGGCGTCGCAGTTACCGTAAATCGTTTTTCGGGGTTTCTCGCGGTCATCAAAACGGGAGGGCTTTCTAGAACGAGGAGGGAACGAAAGGCGATGTAGCGAAATAACGTCTCCACCGCCGTGACACGAGGGGGATGGCACAGAGCGTTGGCAATTTTGCGAAATAGCCCCGCGTCAATACACGTGCACACGCATCTCTCGGCTAAACCACACAAAGAATTATTGAGCAGCCCGCTCGCTGTTTCCGACGAGCCTCGCTCGAGCTGGAGGAGGACGCATAAGTGAGAGACGAAGAGGGGGAGAGACGGGAGGAGAGGAAGAAAAGAGATAGCTAGAGAGAGAGGGGGGGGGGAGATTGAGCCTGCTCTGCAGTTGTAACTTGGACGCGCAAGTAGTATATCGTGGCGCGTGCATTTTTCATTGTCTCGTGTCCCCTGCGCCGCGCCGCGCCGCGCTCTGCGGTGCAGCTCGCGGAATACACCGTGCAGAGTGCATACGCGACGTGCCGGTTGACGTGTGCATTGACGAGAAAATTGCGAGCGTCCCTGTATATCGCGGTCGCCCACCCTCGCCAGCGTGTCCTCTCTCCCTCTCCCTCTCTCTTTCTCTTTCTTTTTCCCTCTTTTTCCGCGTTTTTTCCGCCCACCCCCCCGCTGTCATCCCCCACTTCTTTTTTCAGACCGTCCCTTTCAGGTCGTTCTTACGTCGCGCACGGAATGCAACGCCCGTCCAACCGCCTTTCTCTCCCACACGGATAATCCCGTTCGACGCACGTTGCGACGGGAATAGGAGAGAGACGTGATAGAAGATTTTTATAATGAAAACATTGCGTATTACATGCAGCCGAGTAATTAAGGACGCGCGAACAAGGATCGTGATGTTCCCCTTATCCGTTTTTTTCTTCCGACAGGGATTTAAACTACGGTTCACTTGATGCGAATGTTGAAGCGTTCTTTGATTAGTCGATTAAAATAAAATTCTTTTTCTAATTGGTCAATCGAATTCTTCGAAGCACTTTGTAGCGCTAAGTGGATCGCACTTACAACTAGACTAAAACTACGTATGTAAGTAACTAACGATCAGTCGGAAGAAATATTTCTATACAGCCATTCAGATTGTGTCCGAGATATTAAAATTATTAAAAACATGAAGGAGATAATTATCTCTTCCTGTTTACATCTTGGAGAGAACGTAATTAATTTCACGCAACAATTTTGCTTGGGATAAATTTTCTATCAGCGGTCACTGTTACAACTCTATATCTAGACTTTCTTCACGTCGTACTTAGGAGCTTTAAACGAGGAGAAAATCGCCTTCGGAAGAGAAAGAGCAGGAGAAGGATAAGGGACGACGATGGCGTCTCGACGCACATAGAGACAGTGACCGTCGGCGTCATTCAACGGCAGTCTGCATCTCAATTTGTTTCGACGTGCAGCAGAACACCCGTGTATATAGTCTGGCTAGTTTCTGTATGATGCATGCCGCTAATGGAAATGAGGCCCCCCCCTCTCTCTCTCACACACATTCTTCCTCCACCTCCCCCGACTTCTCCGTCCGATTCGCAACGCGGAGCGTGCATCCGTCTCCGTCATCCCCTTCGTCTTTCCCTTTCAGCCACTTTCCCCCCCTCTGCTTGCCTCCAACGGGAGGGAAGACATGAGAGCCACCCTGGCCGCGGCATCGAGGGGATTCGTGAATTAAATATCGCGCCGAGCTCGTGCGCGATTTTACCCCGTCCGTGAATCTCTCTGTTTCTCTTTCTCTCGGGCTTTCCCGTGAGTTCTGTTGCTCTCCTCGCTTCTCTTCAGCACACGCTCGCTATTAACCGCCTTCAAATTACCGGGCTGACCGCTGTGAATTTTTCACGTACGCCGCCGTCGCGGTAACCTGACTGTACCTCCTTGATCGCACTGAGATGCGGTCAGAAGTTCCGGAAGCTGTTAAGGCTGATGGAATTTCAAAAGGCAGTCAGCACGCGAACAAATATCGACGCATCTAATATCACGAGATGTTGTTGTATATGGCGCGGTGTAAAATGGTGGGGAAAAAGAAGAGTCAGTTGAGAATTAGAGGATGACTTATTGCAGGATGAGACGGATCTCTGAGATTTTAATATTGTCTGAAAAATCAAGTAACGTAAAGACGACAGTCAAGTTTTTTGTTTAGTGTCACACACGCTCAAATTTGTATAAATTCGGCGAGGAGGCTCTCTTGACTATCACATTCCCCTGATATTATTCCCCTTTCTTTTTCTGAAAGTATAATTAGGAACATAGTTTTCTTCATCGAGGTATCAAATATGAATTGCCTTAGGCAACTGAATTGTATCCGCTATAACTAAATAGTATTTATAACTAATAATATGCTCAGAGCACTTGGGGCGTGAAATGATATATACCTGGCTCGATCTTCGTGTCACTAAAGATGCTTATGTTGGGAGTTTGATAACATAGAAGTTTGACAAATTTTGTAAGAAATTTTTTAAATTGTTCTTTACGATAAAAAACTTAAAAATACGCTTATGTTTTTATCACTTTAAAATACCGGAAGTTTATCGTGTACCTTGTAGAGTTAAAGACGTGGATGGTCAAGTTGCACATAAAAAGATCCGAGTATATATAATAAAAATATTTACAATTAATACTTAAAATCATTAGCGTCACTCTAATTACCTAAACGGTAAAAGAAATAACATACATAATTGCGTAAGAAGAATGGCTTACGAGTGAATAACGATGTACCAATGATGCGATCAACATCACAAGTTCGTTTGCATACGAATACTATGCGTAAATCTGTTCGATGGTCTCTTGGGACTCGCGACGGGATCAGACGACTTCGACGACGACGACGACGACGACGAAGACGACCTCTCGACACCTCGGCGTCGAGAATAAAATATCCGGGCTCACGGGATATCGTCGCTGTGAAGAAAACTTGGGCTATTTTCCAGCGAAACAAGTTACCGGAAAGTTTTGGCCGCGCCTCGAACGAAAGTTCTCGTCTCTCGGACTCGGAAAGAGATTCGCTTCTCGTCTCACCTCCCGTACG